GGTTTCGTGACCCTAGACCCTGAACCCCCTAAACCCTGAACCCTGAACCCTAAACCCTACACCCTAATCTTTGAACCCCCGAAACCCTAAAGCCTAAACCCTAAACTCTGAACCCTAAACCCTAAGCCCGGAACCCTAAACCCTAAACCCTGATCCCTAAACCCTAAACCCTAAACCCTAAACCCTGAACCCTAAACCCTAAACCCTAAACCTGTTCTCAGGTCATCCCCCATGGAGTCCAGCTTCCAGGACCAAGCTCAGCCATGCACGGAATGTCGGCTTCTCTTGATGGGAGGGACAGGGGTGTTTAGGGTTTGGGGTTCAGGGTTTAGGGTGTAGGGTTTAGGGTTTGGGGTTCAGGGTTTAGGGTTTAGGGCTTTATGTACATAAGCTCGAGCTTGGAGTGGTTAAGCAGGTTTTTCTTGAAGGGGTGTGATTGGGATTTTGGGTTCGGGCTTGGCGGGTGGGAGGGTTAGATGGAGAAGACTTGCGGGGCTCTCGGGATGCGGAGGGGTGCGGGGCTGGGTCAAGGCACAATTTCGGCACCGAGGCTGCTGAATTGCGGTGCTTCGTTAACCCTGCCGGTAGCCGAAAAGACCTAGCTTTATAGGGCCCCTATTTGTGGTTTCTGTGTATAGTTCCTTAAACAGGTAGGTCTTTTTGGGCCACAGGTGGTTAGTTCTGGAGTCCAAAAACGACCGTCGTTGTTTACAGAAAATTCTCAGGGCCAGCAGCCCCCTAAGCCCTACACCAGGCCGTCAGCCTCGAAACTCTGGTTTTAGGGTTTAGGGCTTGGGGTTTTGGGTTTATAATTATACGGTTTAGGGTTCAGGCGCAGTTAAATCCTGGACCCTAGACGTCCAAGTCTTCGTCTGCACGTCTGCGCAGCCCTAAAAGCTTGCCAGAGTAGGCGTATCATCACTGGGGAGAGATCCGATAAGCATGGTGGTGGCTCGGTTAAGCCAGAACCGGCGGCGCAGAGATTACATAATCAAACACAGCGAATTTGCGAATACTTGTGCTTCGTGCGTTTTGAAGATGGCCAGCGCTGCTGCGACTTGAGCAGGTTCCGAAGGTTTGGACACAGGTGCTGATTTAGGGTTACCTGAAGAACCCAAAACCTACGTCCCTATAAATCCCCCAAATTAGGTTTTATAATAAGAACCTACAAAAAAAGTGGGTTTTGGGTTCATCAGGTAAGGGTTAATGACGCCACAGTCTGCTGGAGATATAGCGAGTGCCCAAAGACCTTAAGAGGGCCCGTGCTCGATTAAAACAGGCACATGCATCGTGCACAGGCATGCATAGGATATTCTCTTAGTGGCTGAGTAGGTAACCTTTAACCTTTTGGGGCTCTTATAATCCTACTATAATTCAAAAGGTTAACCTTTTTGGGGCTAGGGTACTCAGCCCCTAAGTTCTTGTGGCTCAGGTCAGTGCCTTGGGCGTACGGCCATCTTTTCAGTAACAAAGCCCAAGGGGCACCTTGAATCAAGGGATTGCGGAATTGTCCATAGCCATTCATTTGATTACGGTTTGCCTTGCGGCTCTCAGGACGGTGAATGTAGACCCAGCAATATAATGGGATTGTGAAGGGGATACTTAACCCTACAATCCAAAGCTGCAAGCATCTGGGGAGGACCGACTGGATCGGCTGCTAGCGCAGCTAAGAGTTCGGCACTGAGCATTCACGATCACAGCCCCATCTCGGGTTTGGGGTTTGGCCTTTATTCCGAGATCCAGAATCTAGAGTTCAGGTTGGCCCAAGCCCGGACGCTAGCTCTGGATTAGACCCTGGAGGGCTGACTATGTTGGCTTCGGGCAAGTTCAGGCGAGGACTAAAGAACTTTGGGGTGTGGGGCTCTTTGGTTTCTGTTTTTCGAAGTATACCAGAGGGAACAGAGTCCCCGGCAACAAAAGTCAAGGGAGGCGGCCAAGGACAGTAGTAGTCGTCGTCGTAGAAGTGGTAGTAGTGCCAATCGTACTCGCACTCGCCGTGCTCGTCCTCGTGCTCGAACGAATATGAGTACGAGTGCCCATGGGACAATGTGCCAATGCTCTGCAGCAGAGCTTAGTAGTTTCTGACGCCCGCTCCTAAACCCTAAACCCTAAACCCTAAACCCTAAACCCTAAACCCTAAACCCACTAAAGGCCCTCATAGCTTCGAGCCAGAGGGCCTTCAGGGAGACAGAGGCTTCAGGGAGGGCCTGAACCGATCGTTGGAGGTGCTGACAAGCACAGAACGGCAAGGGTTGGGTTTAGGGTTTAGGGTTTAGGGTTTAGGGTTTAGGGTTTAGGGTGTGCAGTTTCGGTGTGTCTGTTTCTTTTCTGTTATCATGAACGTTTTCTAGGTAGGCATTTTCATGTCAATACCGAGAGTTGCAGGTTTCGCATTTCTGGATTGAAAGCCTCATCCACGAAACCCTAAATTAGATCATCTGTATATATTACATGCAGCAAATATCCCGGAATATGCGGCCAAGATCTCGGAGGATAGCCCTTGCCAGCCGCCGAAAAGTTACTAGAGGACCGTCTTTACAGGTTGAGCAGGGCTATAGAGCCGCGGGGACATGAGCTGTGGCAGGGTTCTTCTAATCTGTTTCCTTTGGCCTTTTTGGGTTTTGCATTTCAGGAAAGAGGCTGCCCTGTTTAGGGAACATACGCCCGGTATGTAACCCTTTGAGTTTGGGGCTTGTGTGATCCTACGACCCGGTTTTAGGGAGCATACCTGCCACCTACAGAGCCTTAAACCCAAAACCACAATCAAACCTGAAACCAAAACCCTAAACCCTAAACCCTAAAACCTAAACCCCTAAACCCTAAATCCTAAACCCTATAAAACCCTAAACCCTAAACCCCAAGACCCAAGCCCCAAACGAGGTCCAAGACCCAAGCCCCAAACGAGGTGGACATCCAGAAGCTCCACGAAAACGAAGTGAGCAACTTTTCCGGGGGAAGCTGCCCTTCAACACCCAGCAACAGTGCCGCTGCTGCAATCCTTTTTCGGCACCAGAAACTTAGGTAATTGGGTCAGAAACTTAGGTAGTTGGGTTAGGATCTAGGGTTTAGGACCAGTTTAGGACTTATGGGGTTAAGGGTGGGGGGTAATCATGGGGTGTGTGTATGTATAACTATACATATATATGTATATATAGTTATTTATTTATTTATTTTATATCTTATTACGTTTTATTTATTCATTTATTTATGTATGTATTGTATATCTACGTATGCAGTGCATACGCATACGATAGGGCTTCGGGGTGCCACTATTTCAAGGCTATGCTTATTCAAGGGGCACTCGTCATCACAATCCCCCGCAGTCTAGGGAGTTTACGAGAATCCTTTAAACTCTGAGGCCCTAAACCCTAAACCCTAAACCCTAAACCCCTAAAACCCTAAACCCTAAACCCTAAACTCTGAGGCTACATTTCAGGACTTGTACCTGCTATGCGGGATTTGGGGCTTCGGGCCCCAAGTCCCTAAGCCCCTGAACCTGTGAGCATAGTTCTCTGCAGCGCGAAAGCGAAAAAAGCCCCTAAACCAAAACCCGAAACCCTAAACCCTAAACCCTAAACCCTAAACCCCTAAACCCTAAACCCTAAACCCTAAACTTTAAGACTTTAAGGCTTTGGGGGGAAGCGACTCCCAGATTGACAGTCTGGGGCTTAGAGCTGCGGGGTTAGGGCTTTAGAGGTTTAGGGTTTAGGGGTTTAGGGGTGTAGGGGTTTAGGGGTTTTAGGGGTTTAGGGGGTTTAGGGGGTTTAGGGTTTAAGGGGCAGGAAGCCCCAAAAACCTCAAGAACCCCA